TAAAACCACTGGTTTGTCTTATAGGACAGCAGTGATGGGTTGCAGATACCACTGTACCATGGGAGATGCACTGTTCAACAGGCATAGTACTAGGTAGAAATCTGTTCTCTAAACTCAAAATAATCATGGCTGTTTCCTGTAGCTAAATATAAAAAGAAGGATGTACTCGAAAACCAAAAGATTGTTTTCCTCTCTCCTTCTTTGTACAGTTGTTACCATTCCTTACTACTTTAGATACTTAAATCGCTACTTTGCCTTTTTTCATTATACGCTATTCTGGGCTATCTGAAACTCTCATTAATAAATATATATTGCAGCCATAGGAATGTATCCTCTGAAGGATGGAGGATCCTGTGGAGGATTTCCACTGCTATTACTTTATTCTTCTAAAATGAGGCTTGATAAGGCTGGTCAGATCTTTTCTCCCAGAATGTGGAAGGAAATAGTTTCAGTGATATTCACTCAGTTTGGGAAGGGGAAAAAAAAAAATATCACAGAAGGAAAGGTCAGTTTTCAGTAAAAGCAGGACAAAATTTAAGCAGTCAATGAATTTTAAAAGACAGGGCAGAAAAAGTAATCGGCTATTGCGTATTTGGCAACTGACAGAATCTGAAGAGGCAACAAGCTGATTCTGCATATTGTATCAATCATGCATTTTCTAAGATAGTCTAAGAATTCCCCACATTCTAGTGTAAAAAAGCAAGGAGGTAATTCATTCTGTTTTACATTAAGCCAACCAAACCACCTGCCTCTAGCCTCTAGTCCCACCTGTCACCAAATACAATCCCACCTTTGGGTGAAATTGTCATGTTATACAGCAAAGAAGCAATAAAGCTCCAAAAGGAATTCCTAATGCCAGTACATTTCCAACTTAAAGGTATAAAAATCCAGCATTTTTAAACCTTGGTGAATATGCCGTGACAAAGATTTAAGGTTATGCCATAAATCACTTATCAAAATAGGCAAAAAATGTGGTTTTAAAAATAGCAATGCTATTCTTCAAAAACTGGTGATTATGAACCAGAAAAACAAACCAAGGATAGATAATATAAATGAAAAAGAACACTGACAGATATCCAACTGAAGTTACAGAAATTAGCTCAGATTTGGTCTTTCACAAGAGACAGCTGTTCCCCATTTTTAGGCTGTGATAATGCAAACGTAGTTGAGGACTCCATGGATTACTGAGATTCCTTCAGCTGAAAGGATGAAGCATGATAGCTACAACTTTATTGCAAACCACAAGCCAACATGTAATTCCAACACCGCCTGAAAGAGACATAAAACACAATGTAAGTCATGGCATCAACAACCCTAAGTACACCAGCTTTTGAGAACAACTTTGGAAGTTTCAAAAGCAAAACTTAGATTCATGAAGTCAAGGAGAACAAAACGTGTTTCTTTCCAGACAAAAATGTTTCTCTTCAAGGGATGACAGTTATGCCCATGGTAGTTCTGAGAAAACCTGAAGATTATCTGGAAAAGAGAATACTGAACCTCAGGAACGAGGGGCGTTCAACCTACAACTTCTAAAAACATTCACCTGATGGAAAATGACAGGGTTGCTACAGTTAAACATATGGCAAGTAACAAAATACTCTGGTAAAACCTGAATCTCTGAATTTAAGAGAGGTAAAGAGAAAAATGTCCTCAAAAATTTAAATCACAGTTTTAAGAGTTTTAAATCCATACTTGCTCCCCACACAGCAATAGGGAAAAACGCTAGAGACCTTCACTACTAATCCAGATCCCTTGTACCGCTATTTTAAATGGTCCTGTCATTCAAACTAGTGGTGTAGAAATTTGTATTCGTATGATAGAATAAAGGGTATGACCTGATTGTAATACAGCAGGAAAGCTGAGGTACAATGAAGAATGATTAAGAAAAATGCAATAAACCTTTAAAGAACATTGTTTGCAAGTTCTTGTCCTATTAATGGAAAGTAGGAAAGAAATCCATAAGTTATCAGGAAATAGCTACCTATTTGCTTTAAGAGTGGGGTTTGCTTGCCAGATATAAGGACCATGATGCTTTTAGACACTGAGCTGTCATTCAGATTGATCATGCAAAACAGGAAATAAACAGAGGTCAAAACTTCAGATTTCTGTTTTATGCTTATGCCAGGTATAGTTACAGTCTTTTAAAAAAATAAATACAACAAAAAAATATCCATAGCATAGAGGTGAAGAAATCATCTTTTTGGCGATTTTTTTTTTTTCTCCAATGCTTTGTTGTTCTCAGCTGCATTACCTAGAATAATTTTCAAAAGCAATCTCTTTAATGTGATTATCAACCAAGACAACAAAGGAGATTTGAAGGCAAAGAGGGATGTGAAGCATTTTAAAGCCATTAAAATACTATTTAAATAAATGTCTTGCAAGGACTGTTCCTCCACCCCACACAGAAATAGACTTGTCTTGGTCAGCAATCAGACTAGATAGGAACAATTCTTTAAATAGCTACTAAAAATGTAAGAGAGCAACATATTTTAGAATTCTTCCTAAGGGAGCAGGGACTTAGAAGTCTAACATGAAGATTTACCAGCTGTGTTATAGCTTGACAGTAAATTTCAACGCTACACTGTCCTGTCATTCTGCCCGTCTACTTATCCTGTTAGCATACAGCCATCACACTTTTCACATGTATCTGAAACCTGTGATAATCCTTTTGATCGTTAATTTGTTAAACTGCCCAAAAGAAAAGGATTTAAACAGGTAAAAATGCAACAGAATGTGATGGGGAAAAGGGTGGGAAGAGACAGAAAGAACTGCAGCCAGAGAAGAGCATTCCTAAGTCATTCTGGACTTATGTTCCTATGAAACCTGAGCAGTTCGTAAGAAACATATGTAAGCGAAACAGATCTGTGAAGTATTTGCCCATTTTTAAACCTAATTCTACTATTTTCAGTTATTTTCTTAATTTAAAAATATTTCTGATTTGAACTCTTCTCCAGGGTGTATTCTGTATTAAGACAAAATTGCTCTGTTTGAAAAGAAATAAAAATGACAAATAGCCCATTTCACTGTCAGTTAAATAAACAAAACCTGTATACACAGAAAAAGCTAATCAAACGTTTGAAACTCCCCATGTTGTTACTAAGAAATGTATGGAAGTATTGTTTTTAATCCATGCGTGCTTTTTATCATTATATTCTTATCATCAGGTTTGGGGTGATAGAAATGTATTTTTCCACTGTACAGTTCTTACCTGCCACCCCCGTAGGAAAGGCTACCAGGCGCTCCAGCGGAGCGAGCCATTTGCTTGGAAGCACTGTAACTGGCTCAGAATAGTACTTCCAAATTAGTGAGATCATCAAGGCAGCCTAGAATGGAAATTTGTATTAGTTTGGATAACAATACGCCAAGTACATTTCCACTGCTATTCTGAAGCAACAAATCAAGTTCTCATTAAGGATAATAGTTAATTTATTATTTACGTTGTTCTCAAGCAACTTAAGAACGTTTTTAAGCCCGTGGTATAACCTTAACCTCACACACAAGGTTAAGAGGTAACAGTGAGACTTCGGAAAATACTGCATTCTTTTGAGACGCTGGTTCAAATGTAGCTCAGATAAAAACAGTAATACAAATCGTTACATTCTGATGAGTGTTTTTAGCCATAATCCTAGCCAGCTAGCAACTCAACTAGCTTTCACATTACCCAAAAGATATCCTCCTCAGGTTGAGCACTGTCCTCCTTACTAGCAGAAAATTCATGGAATTCTTTGGCATCAAGTTTGAACTACAGAGATGATCTGGTGAGGCACTGTGGGGAAATGTGTGGCAGCTGTAAGTGGAGATTTGCATCCTATGCAAAAGCATGATATTTTATGTATTCCAAAACATAAGCAAAACACACATACGTGTACCAGAAGTTTCCTGTGTCCAGTTTCATATATAAATGAAAAAAAAGTAATGGAGCAGTTAAGGCAAACTCATATCTTGTCATCTCAAAACCAGAAAAATAAGAGTTTAATCTAAACTTAAAATCCCTTTTATCCTCAACTACCAGACCTTATCAGCAACAACGCCACTCCTTTCTGCGTCCAAGAAACGGTTTCAGCTTGGAATGCTTTGTGTCATCAGAATGACAAATAGCTGTGGGATTGATCATCAGTTAATAAATGCAGGAGAATAGAAATGTAACACTACTGAGGATTCGTTCTCATAATCTGTATTCATAGTAAAATATTTACTTACTTGTAAGATGTAGAATACAATATTGATAACCCACTTTATTTTGGCTAATTGAGCAGTTCGTGCTTTCACTGTTAAAAGAAAAAAATATTACTTTGCATTACTTATAGCAGTAAATTATATAAAACTAGTAATTTATTAATATTTCACTCTTCAAATCGGAACATTACACTTGAGCATCATACACGTGGTTAAAATCTGTTTTAAAATGACTCACAGGTACATCAGAAGTTCCCCTCTGCAAGGAACTACTAGGTCCATATCCCACAGTAGTTTCTTAATTAATGCTACTATGAAAAGTTGTGAAACACTGATATCCTAGACAGAGAAATGTCACATATAATCAAGGACTTTATTCCCAAATGAGAACAGTCTCTGTGGCCACTAATTCAAGAACCTGCTGCAGACAAAGCATAAAATAAGATTTTCCCTTCCCCAAAAGGGGAGAATGACTGCTGCAGCAGATGCACTTTTTGCCTTATTTCATTCAGGAAGATGGTTGAAACGATTCACAACAAGAGTATTCCTTCACTGAGTCAATCTTGGTCAGATTCAATACTGAGAATTCTCTTCCCAACATTTGTTCTAGTACAGCACCTCAGACTAGTATAAAGACACTCTCTGAAGATAACACATCTGCAAATAAAACAGCGGCCGAAAGTTTTACAAAACAATGTTATGGATTGCTAAGTAAACTACTCACATCTAGTTTCAGTGAAATTACTGGTTAATATTAATACTTCTGAGAACAACCCCAAACTGCCAGTTTCAAACGCTGTCCTTCATCCAAGCCAGAGAAAGATGTATAAACATCCATGCAATCTGCACAGAGGAGGCAGACAAAGCAAGTATTCTCCTTATCTTGTTAGGATCAGTCAGTGAATTTGGACAAAGTCAACAATGGAGGTTCTGGTGCCAAAGGTTTACGTGTGTTTTCTACCATGAGCTGATGGATGATACCACTGCAAAATCCTGATGGAACAAAGCACTAGCTTTGTCATAACAGCAATTGGACAAGGTCAAAGAGTTGCAAAACAATAGCAAAGATTTCATCTGGTTACCTTATAGATCAAGGAACCTTTCTCTCTGGCCTTTTATAGGACAACAACCAAATAGCCCCAGCCAAGCAAAGCACTGAAGAAACAGTTAATATGCAAAACAGTGAAGCACAGAAAAATCCTTATACGAATTTCGTACCTAAAATCCACCCTTACCAGTGCGCACAGAGCCATGCACAACTGAAAGATTAAAAAAAAAAAAAGCCCTCCAAATTGAAAAAAAAAAAACAAAAACAAAACCACAAGGAAAACACTGGAAAGGGATAAAAGGAGGAAGAAAAAGTAAAAGGCTATAGAGATAAGGAGAAATGAAAAGATCCTTGGAAAAAAATTTTCCAGGAACTTGATAGGGGAGTAAACATTGCACTGTACCATGAGTTTTAAGCTTGTCAGTCATTTTGTTGATCTTTCTTTCCAGACGGGCATATCTAGCAAACTCATCCATCATACTAATGGTTGAGAGTTCTTGCTTCATGTTCTGAATTTCAGCTCTCATTTGGGATTCCTGCTCTGCATCCTTTTGTAACAGTCTGGATATCTAAGAAGTAAAGAAATAATATCAGTTATTTAGCCAAAATTCATTTTATTTTAATATGTATAAAGCATGGTTTCCTGTTTACATACTCAAAAATCTCCCCTGAAATGAGACTTTTTCATAAGGACCCAGGAAAACCTTGATTTAACACGTTCTGCAACATGTTCTAAAGTCGGAGAACTTATTCTCATGGTCTGACTGAGAAATAAGCCAAGAAGGATCAACGTAAAATTCTTCCTGTACACAGGTGATTTTCAACCTTTGCAATTAAGGTTAACTGCCTTTCCCTTCCCTACTTCTGCCTTCATCTCCTTGTTTCCCACTCTCAATGATGTTGCCTTCTGAGACCTTTCAAACTTCGCAGACCCCACTACCACATCCTGAGTCAAACTGCTGTCCTTCCTCCCTGCAGTTCTTATCATGCACTCCTCGGACCACAAACACCTGGTACTGCTTCCCTGGTCCTTCCTCTCTTGCAAGGCCTTCTCATCACTGCTATTTACAGCTTCAGCAGTTCCTCCTACTTATTCATCATTCCTGTTTCCAGCTCCAAACCTCAACAAGGGTCTAAACTAATCGATGTGGCAAACTTTATTCACTTGAGCCTAATTTTAGGCCTTATCAATAACGCATGGCTCACCAGTTGGGAACACCACTCCTCTAGATTACAGATTGCCTAGTTTGGGCTGTTAGAAACACAACAACTGGCATACTTGATTAGAACTATGATCCACCTAGCCCAGTTTTTATTGCCATCTCAAAACCAGAAACACAAATTTGCATTAATTTTGTTAAGAACTAAGAGTAATGTTATGTTATACAAGGACACGTACACGGAGATTCTGACTTTGAAATCTGCCCATCTGGCATTCAATGTCACTTGGTAAGTTTTACTTTATCATGAGCGTATGCACTTATTCTAGTGTGAGACTGTCAATACCATGGTTGCTGTCATAAGGACAGGCAACCATCACTTCCCGGATTAACCCCTGTACAACACAAACTGATTAACATCATCTCCCTTAACATGCCATAAGGCAAAGAGGTGGTTGCCTCAGGAACTGTCATTTAACACACCGTTTTTCTGAAAGACCAGTTTATATCAAGGCTAGCATAGGCAAATCACCTACTATCATGATTCTGCATTTTGATATCTCTGCTTCTTTCCCTTATTAATCTCTTGAGCTTCTCCTCTCCTAAAACGAGGGGGAAGCAGAGCCCCTACTGATCACAACCTGAGGCGCACCACGGGCCCTTCCAACCACGCTGTGCACTGAAAGGTCCCGCCTGGAGTCCTTTTGAAACGGCACCGCCCCTCCACACCTCGTCATTCTTCAGCCTTAAAACGGGGGTAACGACGCAACCTCCGCCACACACAAAGGCCGGAGGATGCTCCTTAAGGACGACGCAGCAGGGACACGCCGCCTCCCTGCCCCCGACCCCCTCACCCTTTCCTCAGCTACCGCCCAAACCCCAGCGCCCCTCTCCGGGAACCGCTTT